TAAAGTACCAAGGCAAGGTTCTTCTCAAATTCCGAGGCATCCACTTTCATCAGGTGAGTGCATAGTTACTTTCAAATTACACATAGATACAAGTATTCTAAATTCTTAAATGCTATGTGCGCCATTTTTGTCGTGTCTAATATATTTGTACAATATGATATGATTGTTACTTGATCTAATCGAATGTTATACTTAACAGTATGGTTGGGTTGTAATAGGCTACGTAAAATAATAGTAAATGAGAGTCTACGATAGGGTTGTGTAAGATAATGGCTGTGATAGGTTAGTGAGAGTTGTGCAAAACAATAAGACGAGACTTGTCGTGTTTATCTAAAAGTACTATCGTACTGTCGTGCATGTACAAAGTACCATTGTACTACCGTGCTTAACCAAAAGTACTATTTGTATTGTCGTGCCATGACTAAAGTATTGTCATACTGTCGTGCCTAATCATTTAGGGAAATATAGATGACTGTTATCAAAGATCCTTTAGAAAAGATCTCTCAAAATCATTAGTCTAGGATTAGGAAGAAAGAATAGCGGGAATGGGATGACTATGATATTTAAATGCTAAAGATTATATAATTATAAGAATATAATATTGTGGGTTGAAAACCCTATGTGCTCACCAGGTTTCCCAACCTGACCCACTCAGTTTTTTTGTATCACAGATAGTAATACGAAGGCACTAATAGATAATGAAATTATCTGCTGAGAGATTTAAGGAGTTTGTAGACTGCTAGAATATTGATGTAAGGTCTGTTTATGCTTATGTTTTTGTATCAGTTATGACATCCCAAGTTTTAATAATCAATGAAAAACATTTTCTTAGGAAATACTTTTAATGAGACAAATTCCGCATTTATAAAGAACACTCTAATTTAAAATAAACATAAATAAAAAGTTTTAAGATGACCATAAATTTGGAGATGTCTCAGTCAGGATTGTGGAAGGGTGTGTTATGGAACCGTATGGCTCGTGTTGTGTTTCGTAAGTGTCGAGTGAGATGTTGATTGGTTCCTGCAAGACCGTAAGAAGATGGTCGTGTGCTTATAGGCCCACTGAGGTGCTGTCCGTGAGTCCTCATGCTTGTTGTGGGATGCTGGCAAGAACGGCGTAGAACCATGAGCTTCTCATTCCAGTAGTTGGATGGTGTCACAACGTATCGTGAACCATCGTGAATTTTCCTTATGTGAGTTAGAACCAATAGTTGTGTAGTGGAGACTCGTATATTAGTTTGTTAGTCGTTTGGCATAGTAGGGTGTTTGAGCGGTATGGTATTGTCGCTGATGTCAAAGTGGCCGGCAGGTTTTGATCGGGCTTTTGTAGAATGTTGAGTTGTTGGAAAGGTCATGGTTGTATATCAGTTGTTCTTTGTTGGGTTTTTCTTAGCGGACCTTGTTTTTATGAGGATCGTACGGTATGAGTTAAATCATCAATGATGGAGTTCATTGTGGGCTTTTGGATGATTTGTTAGATGGTTGTGCACCAGTGCTAGTGTGGGAGTTTGGATGCCCTGTGAGATTTTTGGATTGACCATTGTTACGCTCGTGGGAGCGGTGGGTTAGTGATGACTTGTCAATAAGTCAAGTGGACATTTGACATCTTTTGGGCTTAATTTACGAATTTGGGATTTGTGGAAATTTACGATCGGGATGTTTGAGTGTTCGTTCTACATGGTTGATGGTGTTCCTAGTCAGAGACTAGGGGTAGATAGGACAAATGGATGATCATCAGTCTTTACGTATGGCTTTCTAGAGCTTAGACTGATGGGTACCCAATCTTGTGAATTATACTAATTGAGTCGGTTAGTAGTTGCAGTTTTGAGAGTTTTCCGATTTAAGTAGTTTTCGTTATGAGTTGGATCTTAATGTAACATCCCAAAATTCAAGGCCAAAAATTTCATTTTAAATAAATTGTAACATAAAACCATCGGTATAAAAACATTCATAATGATATCTCATGTCACAACCAATGTGTCAATAATCCAAAACATGTCCCCATAAAACCATTTTTGTCAAAAGTAAAATAAATCAGAGTACATTCCCAGGATGCTCCATGCGGAAAACATGTGTGTGTGATGCGCTGCTACACCGCCGACTCCTTCCCCTTAGACGAAGAGGTACCTAAAACCAAAACTGAAACTATAAACACGAAGCTTAGTGAGTTCCCCCATCATACCCATATCACATAATCATCGGTGTGTTTCAACCGGTAACCGGGAGCTACCCTCCCCTTCGGTATCTTTCAACCGGTAACCGGGAGCTACCCTCCCCTTCGGTATCTTTCAACCGGTAACCAGGAACTATCATCCCCTTCGGTATCTTTCAACCGGTATCTGGGAACTAACCTCCCATTCAGTATCTTTCAACCGATATCTGGGGACTATTTCACCCCCTATATCTATCACATATTACAGGTCATAAACATATTGGCTTCATAATAACATACATAAGCATACTGAGTCACATAATGACATATCATAATCATACTACTATACATGCATGGGTTTTATCCACCCCTTCGGTATCTTTCAACCGGTAACCGTCCTCGGTATCTTTCAACCGTTAGCCAGGGCTAGTGTGCCCTACTGCTACTTAACACATACTCAGCACAGATATAGCAACCAGACAATTATCACAAAATAACCATCTCAACCATAAACCCCTACTGGTGGGCCGGTATTGGTGCCTTAGACCCACCCCTACTGGAAGGTAACTCACCTCGTAAGGCTGATTGCTGAAAAGCTGATCGACAGATGTCTGACTGCTGCTCCGGTGATCCTCCGGCTATAATTCCCATAAAACACTTAGTCAGACACTGATAACTGTTCTTAGGGTAGAATGACTATTTTACCCCTGACCAAGTCAAAGTCAAAGTCAACTTCCAGTTGACCCGACTCGCCGAGTTGGGCCGCCAACTCGTCGAGTCCCTATCCTTTCATCTGTCCTTCTTCACGCCTCTACTCGTCGAGTTTGGCAACGACTCGACGAGTTCTCCTTCTAAAACAACCCCGAATGAACCTTCATCCGACTCGCCGAGTTGTATGAACAACTCGTCGAGTTCATCTCCATCCTATGAACAAGTCCTGCCCTTGACTCGCTGAGTTGTATGAACAACTCGTCGAGTTCATCTTCGAAAGTTGGGAGATTGCCTTGGACTCACCGAGTCTGTTCATACACTCGTCGAGTCCTATGATTTCCAGGTCTATGGCTAAGTCCAATGCGTTGGTTCACTCCCCCGGACCCCTCTAGGACCACTCTAACACTCACTGGGTTCCTTCGAACCAAAACAGAAAAGGGAAGTCAAGCCATGGACTCGCCGAGTCCCAAGAACGACTCGCCGAGTCGAGAATGACCAAGTCTTATTTCTCGATTTCTGACGTACAACACTTGACCAAAAGATAGATCTAGGCTTCTAGGATCGATCTAGCACGTAAAGTTACAAACTTTACGTGCATGCATGGGACTATGAGCTTAAATGGCCCTAAATGAGACTCTTAAGGTGCATGGGGCTCTCTAAGGCTCCAAAATCAACCCCTTTCTGCCTTGCAACCCCTCAAAGACCTTGGATCTGAAGTCTTAGCCCCCAACCATGCTTGCACTCATGATTGGTCACCAATAATGGCTCCTAAAAGCCCTAAATCACCCCAAAAAGGGATCTAAAACATGAAAGAGCAAGGTATCAACTTTATACCTCTAAAGAACTGCAGAGGGTGCACAAACCCGAACTCCTCTGGCCTCCTCTTGATTCCTCAATCCTTTCTCTTCCTCCTTGTGTTCCAAAATCACCAAAAACCACCACAAAGGCCTTAGATCTTTATACAAACGATTAGGGTTTGATATGGAGAGTTCCGAGAGCAATAGGGACGAAGGGAGGGTGAATGAGATGCTTAAATATGGTGCAATCCCTTAGATTAAGGTTTTGTCCAGTCAGGGCCTACTCGTCGAGTCTGGATGCCGACTCGTCGAGTAGGTCATTAAACTCCCGGGTCCAAGTCGCTCCTACTCGTCGAGTTGGCCATCAACTCGCCGAGTTCTAGGCGAAAAAAATGAATAATACTTGAATGAAATTCATACCAGGAACCGGGTGCTACACTTAAAGGTAGGGATAGAGAGGTAATTGTTGCAGTTGAGTATTTTCAAATGATTGGGTTATGTGTTGGCATCGATGGGGTTCCGAATGTTCTCTCGAATTTTCACAATGGATACTTCGATTTTATGAAGTGGTTGAATTATTAATTAGAATCATATGGTATTTTTATGCACAACCCTAATTTTTTTTAAGTACTTAGCTAATGATAAAGATTTAAGGATTTCTTTTTGAGTGAAATGTAATACCTATTCTTTGGTTAACTTTGAATTTTAAGAAATTAAATTGTGAACCAGTGATAAAAATATATTTCAAATTATTTGTATAGTAATGGTGTATGATGATCAACCCTCACATAAAGATGGTTCAACACCATCAAACAAATTAAATTCATGACCAGGATAATCGTAAACACATAAAAATCTTTCGTACGCGTACAATAAAAATCCTTCGTACCTGATACATGTTATATAAATGATATTTATATATTGCGTACATGTTTTATGGACAATTATTATGTGTTTATAATATTTGTATAAAACATTATTATAAATTCAACAAATTACGTTAAACAACGTTAATTGAAAACCTATATATCATTATATTTTTACACAAAATTATATATTTATTCCAAAATTATATAAAAGAAAACCTATATATCATTATATCTTTACACAAAAAACTACATTAATTGAAAATTATTCTACTTTTAAGTGTGTTCTAATAATTCAAAAAATTAGTTATCAGATTTTTTAAAGGCTTTATTCCAAAATATAAAGATACCTCTTTTGATAATGATACAAATAAAAAATAACAAAATTATATAAGAAGATAAAAATAGAAAATATCTTGTAATCGAGAATTTAGTTGGGGCCGGGGGTAGCTAAACAAGTAACGGATAGACCAAGGCAAGAATTGAACGTTACATTTACTGATTCACCTCTCTCTTTCTCTTTCTCTTTCTCTTTCTCTCTCAAATTCGTCACAGTTTCTTCAAGTGAAGCAAGCAATCGGGTTACACACCGACCCCATTTCCCCCATTATTATTATTCATCTGTAAAAGCAATCCTTCACTAGTTGTGGGGGTAACAACGCGACCCAAACAACGAAATCGATTGCGACTTTTAGAGAGAGAAACTACATCCAGATACTGGAGATTTCATTTACCTTCAATAGCAAACGGTTATCACTCGTCTCTCTCTCTCTCTCTCTCTCTCTCTCTCTCTCTCTCTCAAGTTGAAACTTGAACCTGTAGCTGGTTGGATGTTTTGCTGATTGTACTGTTTTGGGAGAGTTGAAGTTGATACAAAATGGGGTTGATTTCTGGAATACTGATGGGGACTGTATTTGGGATTGCGATTATGGCTGGTTGGCGGCAGATGATGAGATATCGAAGCAGTAAACGAATTGCCAAGGTAAATCAATTGTTTGGGTTCTTTGATATCTTCGTCCGGTTCTGATTAATCAATTAGATTGTTAGGGTTTTACTTTCACTACTGATTTTCGTGATTTGGTTGGTGCTAGGGTTTAATGTAATCTGTAATTAGAACTTAATTTACCATCAGCAAGAGCTGTATGACTGCAATTAGATGTTTAGTGATCATAGACTGTGAACAAGAAATGGGTTTTCAGGGGTTTCTTTTCATTGTTAACTTTATTAGCTTGTGATAGATAGGATCTTAAAGAAGGGGAAATTGTATACTGATTTAAAGAAAGATAGAGCATTATTCATTGCTCCACTGTTCATAGATGGTGATTTTATAACTTCTGAGTTTCCATGCTTCTTGAACTAAACCTGATAATATTGTATGCTTCTGCACTACTAGAGCATGTTATTCTTGGTGATCCACATACAACTTGACATTTATGTTGAGATGATCTTGTTTACTGTTTGATAACTGATACTACTACATATAATAGCATAAAATTGAAATTGCATTGACTATAGAATCTAGATGATCATCTTGACTTGTCAGCTTTCTTTTGAGATTAAATGTTATTCACCATACTGAAAGATAAATTGTTTTTTCCTCAGGCAGTTGACATAAAACTCCTTGGATGTCTCAACAGAGATGATTTGAAGAAAATCTGTGGTGACAACTTTCCAGAATGGATATCTTTCCCTGTTTATGAACAGGTTAGTACTTTCACTTTCACTCTGTACATACATAATCAGCTGCAACTTAAGAATTAGTTTCATCTCTCCTCAACTTCTTACAGAAGCCTTCAAAGATGATTTTTCACTTATTCTTCAACCCAACTCTTAATTTAACCTCTTGTAGTATAAGATGCTTTTCATCACCAAAGAACCCGTTTCATGATTTTTTACAAGTCACTAAACAAATTATATTTTTAGTGAACATGTCTCATCTTTGTAGCTTCATATTTCAGGTGAAATGGCTGAATAAACAATTGAGCAAACTCTGGCCATATGTTGAAGAAGTAAGTTATCTCAAGTACTCATTATTTATAATTTCTATATGTATTATCTTCTTAGGTTGACTATATGTAATTTTCTTAATTCCTACATTTATAGGCAGCTCGAATAATAATCAAAGACTCTGTTGAGCCTTTATTGGAAGATTATCGCCCGCCTGGAATTACATCATTGAAGTTCAATAAACTCTCTCTTGGAACTGTAGCACCAAAGATTGAAGGTATCATTATATATATGACTTAAAATTATAATTTTTTCAAAGTTTATATAAATAATTAAATACTTAAAAAAAACATGCAGGTATCCGTGTTCAAAGCCTTAAAAAAAGGTCAAATAACAATGGACATAGATTTGCGTTGGGGTGGTGATCCAAATATTGTTTTAGGAGTTGAAGCTGCACTTGTTGCTAATTTACCTATTCAGGTAGGTATTTTATTTATTTATTTAATTATTTAAATTCTTTCATAATGTTTTTGAACCAAATTATGTGTGTTCTACAGCTGAAAGATCTACAAGTTTTTACAGTTGTTCGTGTTATTTTCCAACTCTGTGAGGAAATCCCTTGCATTTCTGCTGTTGTTGTTGCTTTACTTTCTGAGGTATGCTTTATGAATTCATAAATTCATGAATTAATGATTTCTTTTTTTTGTTTTTTTTTTTGTTTTAATATATATAAAAATTTCAGCCAAAGCCAAGAATTGATTATACATTGAAGGCTATTGGTGGAAGTTTAACTGCCATGCCTGGACTTTCTGATATGATTGATGTAAGTTTGTTTTTCATTTTTTGACTAATCATTTATCTATTTTTATAAATGTTAACATGTTATTTAATTTTTGTAGGACACTGTAAATACAATAGTTTCAGATATGCTTCAATGGCCCCACAGGATTGTTGTTCCCATTGGTGGTGTAGGTGTGGATACAAGGTAATATTGGAATCGGAATTCATGATTCCATTCCATTAATCAATTATGTATGATTTGGATTTGGTTTTTTTGAATATTTTTATGCAGTGATCTGGAACTGAAGCCACAAGGGCAATTGACATTAACAATTGTGAAGGCAACAAATTTAAAAAATATGGAAATGATTGGAAAATCTGATCCTTATGTCACTGCTTTTATTCGTCCACTTGAAAAATTCAAAACAAAAGCTGTAGATAACAACTTGAACCCTGTTTGGAATCATGTACTTCAGTTGATTGTAGAAGACAAGGAAACCCAGTCTGCTATTCTCGAGGTTATAATAAATCTTTTTTATCTTTTTTATTTTTTAAAATTTTTTTTATAATAAAAAATGGTGTAATCCAATTCCAAACAGGTTCTGGATGAAGATATTGGGCAAGACAAGCGTTTGGGAATTGCAAAATTATCTCTAATTGGCCTTCAACCAGAAATTGAAAATGAAATTGAATTGAAACTTCAACCTTCACTTGATATGCTCAAGATCAAAGATAAGAAAGATAGAGGAACTCTCACTGTCAAGGTAAATAGTCAAATAGTCAAATAGTCAAACAGTCAACACATATATAATTTAGCAATAATTTTAAATATAGGCGAAGTACCATGAGTTTACAAAAGAAGAGCAAGATCTTGCTATAGAAGAAGAGAAGAGGATACTTGAAGAGAAAAAGAGACTTAAAGCTGAGGGTATAATCGGAAGTACAATGGATGCGATTGATGGAGCTGCGGGGTTGGTGGGGTCCGGGGTTGGGTTTGTGGGTAGTGGAGTTGGGGCTGGGGTTGGGGCTGGTGTTGGGCTTGTTGGAAGTGGGCTTGGGGCGGTTGGTAGTGGGCTCAGTAAGGCTGGGAAGTTTATGGGCCGGACTATTACTGGAACCAGTAGCTCTAAAAAGAGTGGGGCGTCAACTCCGGTCAATACTGTTGAAGAAAATGGTGGTGCAAAACCAAGGTAAAAAAAAATAAAATGGGTTTGTTTGTTTCTTTGTTAAATGTGAATTGCTTTTCTACTTTTTATGTGAAACGAGAATCTTTTTACTTTTTGTTTTTGTTTTAGGATTTTTATAAATAGATGGAGTGTAAATCATTATTGATGTTATTGTTAACCATTTCCATTATGTTGGTTTTATTAAATATGAAATGTTAAGGCAGGACACCTAATTTCATGAAAATTCTCCAAAACATCATATTCCGATAGGATGCAAATCTAAATATAATAGAAGAAAAGGAAATGCATCTAAAATTAACAAATCAGTAAACAACTTTGATGAATTAGAGAACGTATAATCGATCAATAATGTAAAAGACGAAGTAACATACCTCGATCTATATGTGTGTGTGTGGAAAATTCATATCGACGAGGAGTGAGAAGTGAGATGATTTTACGGGTTTAGGTAAAACTGCAATCAAGAAATGATTCCACAGTATTTTTAATCTTTTTTATAATTTTTAATTTTAAGTTGGTTACAACTGTATGGTTTACATAGTACGAAATTTTAGCTATTCAAAATTTAACGTGAGTACCGAGTCAAATGAGGAATGGTCGAACTAGATGGTGATATTTTCTCGTGGTTTATTCTATTTGGCAAATTTATCATTCGTACAAATGTTAAAAGAGAAACCTCGAAACTTTAATGAGTGATTTTGAATAATAAGGTTATGTCCAAGATCGTTCTTTGTTTGAAAGCTACATGTTTGAGTTGAGTAGATTTATAAAAAACAATAGCGATATTTGTATATGTTCTTAGTTCAATGTATTTTTGTAACTTTAAGTAATTTATGTTTGTATATATATTTTGTAATAAATTGGAAAATAAATGTTTGGGTCATATGTTCGATCCAACTCGTGCCAAACACCTTGAAATATAATGTAGTTTAATTTGTTTATTAAAAATGTTATTTGAGTTATTATCAATTTTCTCTTGTTAGTAAACCGATCCATTTGAGACCCTTTTGACTACTTTTGATTGGTCATATAATGTTTAGAGGAAGGACACTAGTACGCAAATCATTTGCTTTTCACACAATATGATATTTATCTGATACAAAATTTGTATAATTGCGGTTGGAATTTTATGTATTTGTGTAGTAGTTGTTCACCATCGTTTCACAAAGGAGGCAACTGATTCGTCACAATGGCTAGTATTACCCTAAATGACAACGACGATACCTAATCAATGATTTTCATATAAGTTAGGCGTCGTTTGTTTTTCAAAAGTAATATTTTTTTACATCTACAAAAAAATATTGACCAAAAATCGGTAGTCAATAAAAAAAATTGGTAGTCAATAAAAAAGGTGTTTGTTTTTTTAAACTCTAAACCACATTGTTTATAGATGTTTGTAAACAAACAAATAAGATGTACACACCCATTAACTATATTAATTTCTACATACACACCACACCAACATTATTAATCAAAAGAAAGATTTCAAGAAACGATATTATTGTTTCTTAAATATAACATCTTGATTTTCAATAAAGATATCAACCATAAAATTAAGGGTTAATATTACTATAGACATATGAACTTTCACTTTTGTCCTATTTTGGTCATAAAGTTATTTATTTATTTATTTTTTAAATTTTATGGATCTCTAAAATTTCATTTCACTTATTTAATAAAAGAGAAATTAAATATCCTTCTACATTTTCTTCCTATCAATCCTCCTACATATTTAAATGATCACATGTGTCATATTAGTATCCTAAAATATTATTAAATTTCATTAAATAAGTATTAAATATTACACATGTCACCATTTAATTGGGTAGGATGATATGTAGGAAGAAAAGGTAGGAGAATATTTAATTCTTCAGTAACGAATAGATCTAGAGTTGTTACCGCTATTGCTTCAATTCCGAGTGCATACATGTTGTTTCATCTTCATCTTTGTCAGTGTCATGAATGTGGTTTCTTTGTATGGTTTTCAAACTTCATCATCGTTATAGACTGAACCACCCACTCTAGTAAAACTAAATCTTATAACATTTTTATGAATGAGATTCTCTTCCTGGATGCTAAACCCTTGTTCTTTATTTCACATGACAGAAAGAAGAAAAAATCTTTAAAAGGAAAACTAAGGGAAGAATAAAAAAACCATTAGTGGGAAACACACTTATAGGTTGATGTATTTGCACTTTTTTAAATATGTTGAAGAACTTGATCTTGAGCTTTACTTAAAAACATATTTATAGGTTGATGTTTATGTATCAGGTTTTAATAAGAAATACATTTGACAAATCTATCAAAAAACCTGAATGTATTGGGGTTTAATAAGAAAAACATTCTAAAAATCTATCAAAGAACTTGAGTTGGATCTTCACTTGAAAACACCTTCATATTCTGGTTTTATTTGGGGGAAAATTTCATATTAGCCCATCAAACTTGTCGTGTTTGTTTTAAAAAGTCACACAACTTTTTTTTGTACATTAAGGGAATGAACTCTCATTTTCCTGTTTTAAAATATTCTTATGTGACTTGTTTTAAAATATTCTTATGTGACTTGATACCTGGTAAGCCTGTAAAATATGTACCGATGCTTACAAGAAAATGAGCGAAAGCAAACCCACGATTGAATGCATAGGTCTTCTCAACCTTTTAATCATTACAATTTTGAAACAAGCTCCCTGCGTGACTAACTCTCATGGCGTCATGTTTAGCTTGTTGTAAAGCTCGATTTTGTTCTGCTAATTTTTCTTTCATGAGTTGAGATTCTTTAAGCACTACCGCATGGGAAAGAGCCACCACCACCTGGTCAGCCACTACTTTGACTATCTCGAGCTCCGGACCAGCCCAAGATCGAACTTGACCTTCGGGAAGAACCAAAGCCAGAATCGCGTAACATGCTTGAATCATTTCAGGGGTCCCACCTTTGATATCGGAAACCCTAAGCATCGACATACGAATTGCAGCTACCGCTCCAGTAGTTCTTACCCTCCACTACTTAGGGTTCCGAGCTCTGATTCATGGTCCAAAAGCTTCATCACTTCGCTCTGTTTAATTTCTTGATGTACAAAAAAATTGTACATTAAGGGTTCATCCACCTGTTATGTGTTCGAGTTCGATTCTTTTGGGGATTTTTGTTGTTTGGTGGGTTCTTGTTATACTCTCTTCATTTGTTCATCAATTTCTGGTTTAAAGCATCCTGTCGATTTTATGGTGTTGATGGCCATTATTTTCGTTGAAATTTATGAAGTTCATCTTTTTTTGGGTATGATATTTGGTCAATAATATGGGGAAATGGCTCCTGAAATTGCTCTAAACATAATTAGAGCATCGAATTCTATGTTTTTCTTGGGTTTTATTTGGAATCATATGCAAGCTTCATGATTTTAAAAGGGTATTTTTCTTAGTTTCTCTGGGTTCATTTTTCTTGGTTTTGATTTTTGGATTCCCCACCAAAGATAGTTCATGGTTTCACTTGTATGTATAACTCAAATATAACGGAGGTGACAACCTGCATTCTTGCAGTCTAGATTCAAGATTTCCAAATGTAAAATAGTTCGTGATTTCACACCCCATATTCACGAGACAAACCTTTAACGAGAGTTCATTCCCTTTTCTTCTATTTTGTAACCTGCAATAGAGGACACACATAACTGCAGAGAGAAGGTTGGATGATATGAGGATACAATGATATTAAAATATGTTATAATGGGTTAAGTGACTTTTTTAACAGGTTAAACGAGAGTTCATTCCTTTAATGTACAAAAAAAAGTTGGGTGACCTCTTAAAACAAACACGACAAGTTCGATGGGCTAATATGACATTTTCCCTTTATTTGGGGGTTGTGGGAGATGGATGACAGTGGTTAAGGTGGGAGACAGTGGTACTTGTTGAATGTTCTTGATATGTTTAAGTCATAATAAATTTTAACAAAAATTCAAATTTAATAAATAATTAGGCTTTTTTAATAATAATAATAATAATAATAATAATAATAATAATAATAATAATATAAATCTAAAAGTTTATTAAATAAAATTTAAATTTCAAAAATTTAAAGAAATCTTATGTGTACGCCATGTCAGCATCACACGACATGCCATATAGACATAACAACTACAACTGGACAAACACTTCAAGTTTCTAATAACAACATTTGCAACTTTAGGGATCCATAATACTCAAACATATTTCAGAGACCAAATAAGAACGAAACCAATAGTTCATGAGGCTACAGTACCATTAACCTTAAAATTAACTAGGTAGAAACGTCAAATACCTAATTCACTACATCTAAGAATAAGCATCTATTGTACTTAAAGATTTTTCAACTTAAGTCCGAAAAGATTAACAATTAGGAAAAACTTTTGTTATCCTTTTAATGCGCGTGTCTTCCTTTGAACACAAAATTTCACCACACCATCTAATTGCCAACCACTAGGTACAACATCCCCTAAGTCAATTACTAGAAGTTGACTAGAGAATATCCTACTCTGAAAAATACCCATTGGAGAGAGAGAGAGAGAGAGAGTGTGTGTGTGTGTGTGTGTGTGTGAAACACCCTTAAAATACTAAGTAAATTTTTATTTTTTTATTTTTAAGTCAACCAAAACTATCAATCATTCATTTCAAACCATCAAAGTATGACAATGTGGAAAAATAGTTATTAGAGTACAATCCAAAAATCATAAAATGCTGAACACTGGTGGATGCGATCATGCCGGACCCTTCCCCTTTGAACCGAAAGTACCTGGAAAACATTTAAACATAAACCGTAAGCATAAAGCTTAGTGAGTTCCCCAAAATACCACATACCATACATATAATGGGCCTCGCCCGACATAGGGCCCTGCTCAATATACTTACAAATACATACAATACATACAAGAGTCACACAAACAACTAGCATCCTATAGACATAAATCAATGAGCCGACATTGGTGCCTTCGACCCACAATTACTGTGAGGAGACTCACCTAAATCCGATGATATCTGAATCACATACACACTGCTGATGCAAAGGCTCCTCACATTGAACACATCCAAACCAACCCCTAATTACTATTTGGGGTAATAACCCATAATTAAAGGTCCAAATCCTATTCTCTCTTACT